TTGTTACCACATCTGGTCCCCAGACACACTACTAAACTTAGCACACATTCGGATACGCCTTTGCTAAGGGTTCCTGTGACACTGGCAATAGCACATAGTTTTGGCAAATTTATTTCGTAACTCTCACTTGGAATCGTTTCTTCATTTAAGGATTAAGTTTATTGCCTACTCACAGACATAAACGCACACAAGAAACTAAGTATTCAAGTGGTGGTGGTGGTGGTGGTGGTGGTGGAAAAAAAATAGCCACATACAAATAAACACATTCCAAACAAAAGTATTAAATAAACTACTAAATTTCTTTAGTGGTATTAGGTTTCTTCATTGTAGGAAGGAATAGACCTCATTCAACAGAAATATTTGGCCTGAGAGAAAGGAACGAATGTTCAGTTACAGAAAGTGGACTGTTTCCCCTCAAAACCCACACCTAAGGGATATAAATCACCCACCCATCTGCGGATGAAGGCGGCGCAGCTCCACGTGCCTGGTGAGGACTGAAGGAGGCTGGTTCTTGACAACCGGGGACCCAGGAGCACTCAGGAGCTACAGAGAAAGGGGTTCAAGACAAGGCTTAGCGAAAAGTGTTGAAATAGAAGGATCAGAGGGTCCTGTGAAGGGAGGGAGTGAGGGCCGACAGCATCTTGAAGACCATCAAGAGGAGTATCGATTCCAGATCTCAGGAATAATCATCCCACTCTACTCTGCCTTGGTCAGGCCTCACTTGGAGTATTGCATTCAGTTCTGCACACTCCAGTTTAAAAAAGACATTGATAAACTGGAGCAAGTCCAGAGAAGGGCTACCAAGAGGGTGAAAGGGCTGGAACCCAAGTCCCACAAGGAATGGTGCAAAGACCTGGGTCTATTCGGCTTGCAGAAGAGAAAGTTGAGAGGGGATACGAGAGCAGAGGCATCTTCAAGTATCTGAAAGGCCGTCGTGTTGTAGAAGATTGGTTGGGACTTCTTCTCACTTGCTCCAGAGGGGAAGGCTAGAACTCGTGGGATGAAACTTCGAGGCTGTAGATACAGATGAGACCTGAGGAAGAACTTCTGGACAGGAAGAGCTGCCAGTCAGTGGAACGGGTGACTGCCCGGAGGGGCTTCTTCCCCTACCCTGGTGGTTTTCCAATCCGCTTCTTGAGGATGGTGTGGTGAATCCTGCAGGGGGCAGGGGGCTGGGCTGGATGACTTCTGAGATCCCTTCCAACCCTATGATCCTATGTATACAGCAGTAGTGGAATTTTGCACTGAGAAGGGCATTTATAGCAATTGCAAGAATAATCACATCTTATTATTCTTGCGTCTCTGGCTGCAACCTTGCTAATCAGATAAACCTGACACTCTCAGGGCCAAGGAATCTCGGAGTCGTCTGTGTTCAAGGAATCATTTTCAAACCATGCTGGGCTAATGCCCCTCTGCTCAGGGATCCTGAGGTAAAGTCGGAAATTCTGAGTATTGGACGGAGTGAGGGTTCGGCCACAGCAAGTTTTTAGGAAGTGGGACCCGGCCCAAAGAATTGAGCCGTGCTTGTCTGACGGGGACTGTCTGGGCTTCCTCCTGGAAAGCCAGACTCCCCGCTTCCCTCTGAGAAGACTTGAGAGAAGATTTTCAGAGCTGTAGACGGTCTGCACCTAACGCTAGGCCTCTGCTCTGACACAGAAATCAGAGGACCGACCTGGAGATCAGGGTGACTGTGTGAACTGAGGACGAAGAGATGATTAGCAGGGAAACCCCAATCCTGTCCACATTTGCCGTAATGCTGCTCCCATTCTGTTGTGCTTATTCTGGTTTCATTCTGAGCCCGGTACTCTGAGCGCTTCCACCATCCTTTTCCAAGCACCTCTCTTTTTCCTCCCTGCGGGCAGGGCTTTCTGGATTCACACACACACATTAAGCTGACTAATAAAATAACCTTGTGGTTAAGACTTTCATCTACCTTTTAAGCTAAACAGAAACACTACTACTAACGATGACAGCAGAATAGCTCAAAAGGGACTAGGAAAATTCTAAAATATCAGACTTCACAACTGAAACACAGAGATTATAGAATAAATTGGCAGTAGTTTTCCCCAAAATTATCTCTGTACTCCTCCACAACATCCAAGATACCTTAGAAGATATTCTGTATTTAGAAGAACCTCTAGAATTAGCAGATGAAGTTAGATTAGACCTCCAGTCATTGCCAAGTTTCAAGGCTGCAAGACTTGATGAAATATCTACAACAGTGTTTCTCAACCTTGGGAACTTTAAGATGTGTGGACTTCAGTTTCCAGAATCCCCCAGCCAACTGGCTGGGGAATTCTGGAAACTGAAGTCCACACATCTTAAAGTTCCCAAGGTTGAGAAACATTGATCTTCAGAAATATGGCAAGGAACAATAAAAGAATCAGTCAAGGTTTTATGCTAGAAAAATCTGAAGAATAACACAGTGGCAGCTAGATTGGAAGTAGGCAGTCTACACGCCAATATCAAAGAAGGGAGACTTAATAGTGTGCCAACTGTCACACTTTATTCACTGAATAAAGATGTGTTCTGTTCACACAATATCCTTAATTACACGTGTGAGCAAAATAATGCTTAGAATCATCCAATGCAGATTAGAGCCCTACATGGAAGAAGAGGTGCCAGATGTTAGCTGGTTTTAGGAAAGGCCGAAGAACAAGAGAAATGATTACAGTCATGCTGGATGATAGATAATTGAGACAGCCAAAGACTAACAACAACAACAAAAACTCAATATGGGCTTCATTGATTATGGCGAGACCTTCAGCTATATGAACCATGTCAGTCTGTGGAATAGCCTTAAGAAAATGGGACTCCCAGAACCTCTCCTTGTCCTCATGCAAAATGTGTGCATAGTTTAGGAAATCATAGTCTGGACGGAACATGACAAAACAAACTTGCTGCAGTTTTGCAAAGTGAGACAAGGATGTAAACCTCCTCCTCTTTAGTCAACTGTATGCTGAGGGAAGGTGGATCAGAAGAAGATGAGTGTGGTTTTAGCAGCGGAGGAAGAAACTGATATGCTGATTCCCTAGTTTGATAGGTAAAAATGCAAATGATCTGGAAGCTCTACTGTAACCATGGTTGGTTGGTTGGTGGTTGGTTAGATTGATTGATTGATTGATTATATGCCATCAAGTTGTTATTGACTATTAGCAACCACATAGATTTTCTCCATGTCAATCTGTGCCTAACCTGTTCTTTCAAGTCTCCCAACAGTTCACTCATCACCATCGTAATTGAGTCCATCCCAATTGCTGTTGGTCGTCCTCTTCTTCTCTTTCCTTCTATCTCTCCCAGCATCAGAGTCTCTAGAAAGTTAGGTCTTTGCATAATGCGTCCGAACTAGGATAATCTGAGCCTGATTGTTTGTGCGTCGAATGAGGACTCTGGGTTGATTTATTCTAGTATCCATTTGTTTTCTTGGCTATCCATGATATTCTCAGGAGTCTTCTCCAATGCCAAAGTTCAAAAGTGTCAATATTCTTTCTGTCTTGATTCTTCAAAGTTCAACTTTCAGTTCCACAGGGTATCAAAGAGAATAATACCATGACTTGCACAATTCTGACCTTTGTAGATACAGACACATCACAGCATTTGAATATCTTTTCCAAGGCCTTCATGGCTGCTCTACCAAGTGCTAGTCTGAGGCGTATTTCTTGACTGCTGGTTCCTTTACTGTTGATGGTTGATCCCAAAAGGCAGAAGCTTTCCATCACTTCAATATCTTCATTGCCACATCTAAGGTTCTACCTGTTGTCATTAGTTTGGTGGATAACCATAAGGAGGAATGAAAATAGGTGAGCCCCACTGGCTGATTTCTTCCCAATGTAAATAGTAGCTTCAGAGAAGGGACTGTGGGTATTTTGGTTCGAAATGGTCTTTTGCACTACCTTGAAGTCTCCCCGTATTCTTCTAGAGTAAAGCCCTGTGTAGAAGTTGGTATATTATCTGGTAGTTGAAGAGTATATGGCTCCTTTTCTCAGAGTGAAAAAGAATAAGACCGAACTCTAATTATTAGGGTTGACATTTTATTTATTTTTATTTATTTATTGAATTTGTCACTGCCCATCTTGTTAAACGACTCTGGGTGGTTTACAAAACAATTAAAAACAATTAAAATTACAATATTACAATAATAAATACAAAATAAAAAAATCCAAAGTAATTGGCGACCATTTTTTCAAGAATAGAGGAAGTATAGGAGGCATTGGACAATATTTCTGATTTATGATCATTTTTAATGTTCAGTTTATCATGAAGTACATAAGCCAATCCCCCTATTTATGCATTATTTCAACAAGACGTATGTTCAATATCATTTGAGAGGGAACTAAGCTTGCAGAAGTATGACTTCTCCAAGTAAATCATTCTGGATGAATGGAAATTGAACACAAGATGGATCTGCAAGGTGTTAAGCCTGGGACGGTGCTGAAATGTGTCTTCTAATTTCCCCCATTCTGCCCAAAAATTGTTTTTCAGGATTTGGGGGTGGTGTTGGTGGTGTTTTTTTTCATTGTATATTGATCAAGGTTATGGTGGAGTTTCTCTCTCAGTTGGATATGGAAAATGTCCCATTTCTCCCAGACCTTCAAGTGACTGGCAGGAAACCTGGTGTCCAGGTTGCAAATCTCTTACGTCTCTGTGTTTTTCTCTGTCAAATACTTTTTACTCACCTCTTAACTAAGCTCTCTAACTCTCTCTGTTACAATGTTCAGTTAAATGACAGGGCTGGATCCAGATAAAGATCTCAGTCTGAGGTAGGTAGAGATAATTATGGGCCCTCTCTTTATCTGATTTTGAGGAGTCACTCCTTACAAACCTTGGCAATGATGGAACCAGAACACCCTGGAAAAAAACTGGCTATTCCATCATTTCAAATCTGTTCCCTAAAGCAGTTAAAGTGATTTCTGCATACCTCTCAGAAGCATAGAACATTTTATGTAGAGCTTTCTTCTTCGATCGCTTTCAGTAAAATATATATGTCTTTAATCTTTTAGAACAAGAGTCAAGGATTAATTTTCGTCCGAATACATGCACCATGGAATGTACTGAGCCGAGAAGCAGAGATTCTGAAAATCAAAATGCCCACTAAAAGAGTAAGTATGATTCAGTTCCATTTTTATCGTTGTTGAATGTTAAAAAAGGGGGGTGCCAATGGCGGGGGTGTCTACAGGGTGTGGTCACAAAAGTCAAGCTGGCGGCCATCACAGTGTGATCAAAACTCCACTCGCACATAAAAAGCAGGTGCAACTTTGATCATACCTTTGTGGCTTCCATCTTGACTTTTTTGAGCATAACTTGCAGACACCCTCGGGCAGTGGAAAGAAAAGACGTGTCATCTAACCACACTTTTGGAGGAAAATAGTTGGGAAAGGAGATGTTTTGGGTAGATTCCAACAGCTTTCCTTTGTATTCACCTAAGTTGTGCTTTAATGGCTTTACTCTCAAGCCATTCCAATTTTATTAGGAAATTCATTTGGGGCACATTTTAGTGGCTGGTTATGTAGCATAATGCTAGTTTGTCCCTCAGATTACTTCCATCTGACCCCGGCTCTGGCACAAAAACACCTTGTTCCCGTCAGGAGGGCAGAAGAGCTGTTTTACTCACTCCTGGCACACTTTTAAGTAAAATGGGATCAGTCAGTTCTGTAAATGGGGTAGAGGTAAATTAGGAGAGTGATATTTTGAAGTCCAGCCTGTGCTATTTAAGGCTGAATCCAACCAAGTGGAGCTAAGTCATAATGACTAAAAGTATATTTTACTGGCTTAAGCTGGAATGTTAGTTGGTGTTTAATTTCATTTAGTGTGCAGAAGGAAAATTTGGCTTGAGTGTTTGTGGGATTGTCTTGAAAAACCGACCAAGACTAGACTGCAGTCAGTCAAGCGGATTCTTTGGCTGATGAAACTTCTGTGGCTGATGGTCCATTCTAAGCAGTTCAGAGTTCTGGTGCTCCACTCTGAAGAACTACAGGGGTTTTGACTTCAGCTGGCAAGGAGCGTTCCCTCCAGCTTAGCAATGTTCATGGGAGATCCTTCTCCATATTCCCTGGCCTTCTAAAAGTCAGGAAGATGGCTGACAGGAGAAAGCCTATTTGGTGGTGGAGTGAAGGCTGTTGAGAGATAAGCTTACAAGGTAACATGTTGTTTTTTTGAACTCAACTCTTTGTTGAGTTGTTGACTTTAAACAGTAAACCATAGACTATCCATAGCAAAGAACATAGAGATGGGTGTTGACAGGAGGGGCAAGGCAGAAGTCATGATGTCATCATGCACACAAGGTCACCAGCATCCTTGTGGCTTCTTCCACATATCTGTGAGCATGAGCAACATGGACTATGTCACAGGGATGGTCTTAGAATCAGGCCAGCCTCTTACACATGGCATCGTTGTGTGCTGTACAGGAGAGTAACAGAGTAACCACTGTGCCCATAAGACTTTTCCTTTTGTTACATGGAGAGTAGGCACTTACCACTGACCCTGACAATAAAATAGCACTATGGTTCGATTAGCAGGATGCAAGGGGTGTACATCATCTTGGATGGCAATTTCCAGTTACTGGCCAAGGTTTTTGGAAAAATAATCCACTAATCTTTTTCAATGGATCCTGTGATTTAAAGTTAAATGAATGAATGGGATATAGTACAAAAGACAACCCAATATATTTAATGGCTGGTTTTGACCTATAAGGCTTTTCAAGGCTTGGGGCCCAGTTACCTTCAGAACCATCTTCTCTATCCAGTTTAGGCCTGACCACTGAGATCTAGCAGGGAGAAATTGCTGCAAATCCCACACTTTTGGGAGGTTTTTTTTGGGGGGGGGGTGTAAGGCAAGGAGGTGCTACTTTTCTGTTGCAGCACCAACATTGTAGAAGAACCACCCTGAGGAGTCCAAGCTGACTCCCTGTTTGCTGGTTTTTTGAAAACAGCAAAGCTGTTTAAAGAGCCTTTCCCTGATTTGATTTGATTTGATGCTTACATCTTTTAATTTTCTTTGTATTCTTGTGTTGTTGTTGTTGGCTGGAGACTTCTGGAAATTGAAGTCCACACAACTTAAAATGGCCAACGTTGAGAAACACTGGTGTAAATGAGCCACTGAGGGTCATTTTATTGTAGTGGCAAAGCTATATGTTAAATAAATACATAAATAAATAAATGATATTCCGCTTCTGCCCTATTAAACTTTCCAATTCATCAGTAACTTCTTGGGGGCTCTTAGAACTTTACCCAAGGTTTTAAGGGCTGTGGACCTGTCCCTCTGAGCCATCAGGCACTAGAAGCCCGGTTCCTACAAAACTTTAGTGGCTTACAAAAACGTTTTAAGTTAAAAAATAAAAATATGAATGGTAGCAGAATAATCAGAGTGGGTGCCTGAATTAAAAATATTACCATGTGCTGTTGAACAAATGTCTTATTGAAGAATATAGTTCTAGAGAACACATCTGCTGTATAATCCTAGACCTCCAGCTTATTACCCCTCCAAGGGCCCACAAAGATAAATGTGCCTAGAAGAATTCTTACTGCAGTCCTGCTGTGGCTTTAAATTAGACCCTCTTAGCATAAACTTCTCAATTCATTGTCTTAGCGTACATCCATCTTAAGGACTTCTTTTGTCATGTTTATTTCTTAAACCTTATTAAGGTTTAAGAAAATGTCAGCTGGCTCAAGGGACCACTCTCACAGTGAGTCCAAGATGGAGGTAAATTCTGGAACTTGTAACCAAAGCTAAGCTAGATGCCCAAAAAGAAGCAAGATCAACCAAGGTCAGCCAGATGTTGCAAATAGCTTTATAGACTATTAAAATAAGACAAAGGCATCTCCTGATCTATCGGCCTAATGAGCTGTTGATTACTCAACATTCAAAGGCAAATTTCTAAAAAGTATAGAAGTAATTTCCAATATCTGCTGGTCATTGACAAAAGCAAAGATCGACTGACCGACTTTTCCAGGAAAATGTGTCAGTGCCGCAGCTTTCAATTTTAGATGCTAAGGAATATCAAATTGAAAATGATCTAAATGAGATAACATAGGTGGGAAACCATATATATAACAACTGACCTGCATGTTGAACAGATGTTGAATATACCTTTGGGTTGTATCTGGGGAGTCTGTGGTTGGACCGTCCATATTTATTAATGCAAAGTGATAGTCCTTTGATCTGGCAGTAAGTATAAAAATAATTCTTGTTGTAAAGTTCTGTAACAGAAATAAGTGTATTTATTTCTGTAGAGAAATAAATTTTCTGTATAAGAAATATCTAACCTACTTAGAAGATTAGCTGATTAATAGAGTCATGACATTTGTCTTTTGGAATTTCCCCTTGCATATCCTGCTCCGCTGGAAGCTTTTGCAAACGCAGTTCTCAGGCAAGAGTGTAAATCTTCCTCGTTTCTGAAGCCTGTGTTCCCATAGGACCCTTCATCCATTTCGCATGCTGTTTCACGAAGGAGCAAAACTGGGCACAGGTCTTTGAGAACCTTTTTTTTAATTAATCAACCACAAGAGAAAAAGATGAGAGCAGAACAACAAACAGAGATTTCTGAGCACATTCCATGGACAGACCTTTTGTCTGAAGCCCCCTCCACTGATCACCCCTCATGCCAGGCACCTTTTCCTCTAGTGTGTCCACAGGTTGACCAGTAAAAAGGAGCAGCAAAGAAAACCAGAGGGGGTGTAGCTTCAGCTGGAGGGGAATCTGGCAAAGCTCTTTTTTTAAAGAGGTTTAAAAGAGGAAAGGGTTTCCTCCGGCTTAAAAAGGGGAAAGGGCCAGCCGAGACCCCTTCGGAAGGGGACAGGCAGCCCAGGAAAAACTGGCCATGGAGGGCAGTGACCGGAAGGGAGGGGAGAGACTGATCCTACCACAGACCACCAAAACTAACTGGAGTGGAGGATTTGCCTGCAATGAAACGTGCAGCAGGGGAAGTGGACAGCAGTTCTCTTGGAAAATGTGACTTTTGATGAGTAGGAGGAAAAGACAGGTGGAAATTGCCTTCCCAATGGGGTAGAAAGGGGTAGCACACAATGTTATATGTCCCTGTCCCTGAGAGAAAGTGTTGGTGTCCCATACTTACATTGGGACAACCTGATTGTCTAAATCTTCCCTACCTTTTCATATCAAGTCAAACACAGCGGTTCCTCTTGTGTCATCCTCCATCCTTTGAAGGAGGAAGTTGTAGATCAGACAAGCCGGGAGTTTCCTGGGACAGCCATGCTCAGGGCAGCCTACTTCCCAACCGATCGATGTCATTAAAGTCCCCCACCTTCATGCTTCTTGGAAAGGTCTTCAGCTTGATTTTGAAAGACATTACCCACATCTCCATGGTTGAGGGGGCAGCAGCAGACACCAACTGTGCTTCTGCTTTTATTCGTTCCCTGCTTATTTTACCCCAGGTTTTATCTACAGCATTGCCAAGTTTATTCATCTGATTTCTGAGCAGGAATGCATCTGTTTAATATACACACCTTTCTACTGCCTCTGTGCCTTTTGAACAAATGAACTTAGTAACATTTTGGCAGTTATACACCTACCATGTATGCTGTTTTCATTTCTCTAGACTTATGAAATCAAAGAAGAAGGAGGAATTGTCAAGAAGCTGTCTTCGGTGTGGCAGAAATTTACAGAACCATTGCAGCCTAAAGTGCCAGAGCAAAACGCCACTAGAATGAAGAATTTATCCTACCCCTTTTCCAGAGAAAAAGTATATTTGTGAGTAATTGACAGGGTGTCTGATGGGATTGATAAGGAATTTTATCCAAATTACTTCTGCAGAAATGAGGTAGGTCCTAATCAAGCACGGCATAGAGCAGTGTTTTTCAACCTTGGCAACTTTAAGATGGGTAGACTTCAACTCCCAGAACTCCCCAGCCAGCCACTTATAGAGGGTTGCGTGGGTATCACAGAGGCAAAATGCTGATCACTTGATCAATTAAAGAACAGGAAACAGGATCAGCATCTTTTTCCATGCCATACAAGAAGCCCTTGCTCAGAGAAGAGAACTTTCTTTTCCTGAATCACCCTTCCAGAACCAGAAGAGTTGGGCTGAATGATCCCCAAACAAACTGAGTCAGATGGGGCTATTTCTGGAACCTTGGATCCAGCCCTTGAAGTCAGGCAATGTCTATACCACCATAGGTAAAAAAATAACAATAAGAAAGTAAAAATAAGCACCAGTAACTTAAACCTTCCCTTAAAAGGTAGCTGTAGAGAAGTTTGGTGCCTGGGGAGTCTCCTTGGGAGAGAATTCCTAAAACCGTTCTCCCCTGGCCATTGTCTCCCGAACCTTTGCATCTGCACACCAGGGGCAGATGATCGTCTTAACCGGGGCTCTAATGGGAGGAGGAAGGGCAGACAGACCTGACGAAGTTTATCTCTGGGCTTGGGAGATTTTTCCTTATAGTTCACTCCTATTTTGTACTGGGAATATCTGAACTTTTGGTATTTCTTGGGTTATCACTTTATGAAAATGTAATGGGAGAAGACCTATGTTAGTCTATGGCAGCCAAAAATCAGAAGGAATCCGATTGCACCTTTGCACACTAACATATCTTACTAAAAGCTATAACAGACAAAATGCATTGCCCTCAAAAGATGCTACCAGTCTCCTCCTGATTTTTTTCCTTAATGAAAATACTTCTTGCATCTGAACATGTACCTTGTATTCTATTCAGAAGAAATTTGATTTCTTGGGATTTTAAAAACCACGGGTTCAAACATGTAAAGTAGAGTAACTGTAGTCATTTCAACCTTCACAATCCTTGGGAAGAGAAGGAATAATGAAGTGAGAACCTTTTATTACTTGAAGCTTGTCAGACAAAAATCCTACAAGTGATTTAGCAATGTTGTTTTATAGCACCATAATCTTCTACTTGTAAAATCTTTTGCCTTTTGTGCTTGAAGTAAGTCAGGTTTATTTGTAATATTAGAACCTGCGGCTTCTAAATGAAAGTAGTCTTAATTCTGTTCTGTATGGCATTACATGGCAACTTATGTCATGGGACTGATTTTTTCTTTTCACGTTCCAAGGTACAACATTCAAGATAAAGATACATTTTTTGACAATGGCACCCGCAGTCGAATTGTAAGTAGATCCAGAAGGCGGCTACGGTTGGATTATGGCTTTTCATCACCTTTTGCACTTTAGCAGATAACAGAAACAAAGAGGGCTACTATTTCAAAGTGCTGATTCAAGCGTAGAGGCTCAGCATTTCAGCTAAAATCCGTTCCTTTCCTTTCAAGTTACTGGAAAGCTCAGAAAAGGATTAAGAGTTGGAGAAACTGGGCAAAAATGCTAAACATCCTCTCTGCAGACTTGGCCCGCTGCTGTTCGGGGTGCGTTAATCCAGTTGAGGAGCCCCAGGGCAGGGAGCGATCGGGGCTCCCCTGGCGCGTAGCCAGCTGACAGGCAGGCCGCCCCAAATCGCACAGCTGGGCAGGAAGGGGGACCTGGCAACTGGAGATGGCCAGGGATGGCCCAGTGGGAAGCTCAGGGAGAGGGCCATCTTCCTCCACAAACACTGTTTTCTGGAAAGGGGCCCCAAATTGAGGGCCTCAGAGGAGCAGGTGGTGGCCAGAGAATGCCCCAGAGCATAGCCGCCTGCTCATGCAGGCAGGTGAGCTCCAAGAGAACAGGCCCAGAAGCCTCCAAGCTCCCTCCCAACCCTATGAACTCCGCAGGTCAAGGGAGAAAGCCAAAGGGTTGCCATTATGTACTCTACGAAAGAGGACAGGGCTGTTTTAGATTTTATTTTACACTTCTGGAGGTGTAATGGTAGGCAGGAATGACCTTGGGAGGGAGGGGAAAGAGCCACAAGGGAATGGTCAGATAGGAGACAGCTGAGCCCACAGAAGGAACGGGGGCACAGCAAACGTCTCCGAGGGGACCCTCCCTAGTTTCTTGGACTATAAAGGCAAGGGGCGGGGGAGGACAGATGCACTTTCAGACTTGCAAGGTGCTGTTAATGTAGCCTTACAATAATGACAGAACTAGAACTTCTGAGTGTGCTTCTTGTCTGGACTATTTCGCAAGGCTGACAGGAGGCCTGACCACACAGGTAAGCAGAGGGTGGTTTCTCTGGCTGATATGTAGAGAATTGTATGGTTATTAAATGTTATGGGTGTGCAAAATGCTTCAACCTTGAAACAGCCTTTTTTGAGTGTTCTGAGCATGGACCAACTGCTGTGTGTACTTCCAGAGATTTGTTTCAAGCTTTGCAACAAGAGGAACCGTCCTGAGAGTGAAACAAAACCTGGCTGTTTTGCGTGTCACTGTTTTGTGTGTCCCGCCCATCCAAACCACCACAGGTGCCAGTTGTCCTGCGGCCTGGGACCTTTCCCTGGCTTTGCCCGGCGTAAGGCAGAGACCAAGAGTTTCCCTGCTGCTCTTGGTTTAGATGGACAGAAGAAGTGGGAGGAAAGCATTAATGGGAGGAGAAGTGCCCAGAAAGTTACTTCTGTAGTTGTTGCTTTTAAGTGGCAAGCTACAAAAGTAAAAAAAAAAGACATGTCTGTTGCTTGATTTTGATCATTCAGGGGCTGGTCCAAGGAGATGGAGGGGCAGCAGCTGTGCCCACGTTCCCCTGCCCCCTGTGGCCAGAACACTCAAAGCGCTTCAGAACCTGTCCTCCTGGCACCCTCAAGTTTCACGCTTGGTTCAGTGGAACACACTTAACTCAAAATGCTTCAATAGCATGTTTCAAATGGGACTGTTTCATACCTGAAACAAAACATGTGTTCTATTTTGTGCCCACCTCTATTAGCCTTGATCAAGTGTGTGTGCACAGCTGCGCATGGAGAGAATCTGGCCTTTGTAGCAGACTTGCTAAGATACGCAAATGAGGCCATAGTCCATCAGCATTTATACCAACGTCCTCCTTCATAGAGACGGGGGACGCGGGTTTGAGGCTATATTTCCTGGGATGTGAGTTTTCTATAGAATTTTCAATCGGCCAGGAAGACTAGGCCAGAAAGGGCACCGTAGAGACACAAAGATGTGTGCGATGCTTACAGAATCCATAATGAAATCATGGAAAATGAACACAAAGTTGACAAGGCTTCCAATCTTCAGAGCTGTCTTCTCTGGCGGCAAAGGAAGGAGCCAGCGAAGGGTTTAAGACTTTCCACCCTGGGCCCTTCTGTGGGGCTATATTGCTCCAAAGCAAAACGTCAGGACGGAACATCTCTTCAGCTTCATTGTATGCTGAAAATAATGTCTCCTTCCATATTGTTCTCTGAGACACCAGGAAGTCATGCATCTTTATGGGCTGACATCCCCTTGGAGAGCTATAAAAGTGCGCTACCTTTTGCAGCAAAGATTTTGCAGAAACAGTAGAACAAGTAGGTCCTCCTACCCTTGAAAGGTTTTCAAATTTTGTCTTGTATATTCTTCTTTATTTTTATACCCATTATTACTGTTGTGAAAATGCAATAAATGAATAACTCTATGAATCCAGCCACAGCCTTCTGGCAAAGGGTGGTCAGAATTTGGGTTATAGTAGGGTTTTTTTCTTTTTTCTTTTAAATGTACATTGATTGATTGGCTTCTGCTAATTTTCAAGAATCATCTGTAAGTGAATTCTGTTTTCTTTTTCTTTTCTTTTTTCCAAATATAGGTACATGAAATTTTGAAGCGCACATATAGTTCAAAAGCCAAAAATAGCATGGGTAAGGAAAAGTTTGAATTTTAAATATATTATTTTGGAAGCTGTTTTTCAATATGTTTGAACAGTCACGTTGAACATTTCAGCTTTTTGCAAAGTAGAGCCACCTGGTTCGCTGTTCATATATAAGGACAGGTAGATTTCTCAGTCTGACTTTCTTCTACAAATGACATTTTAAAATCTCAGGCAACATAATTAATCTCAAACCAGAGAGGGATGAATTGCTCCTGCCTGCCACAAAACTATTAAAAAAGATGAAGAAGCTGTCAAAGAACAAAAAAAGTTGGTGGCAACAGCACATGTTACTGCACCACCATTCTTTCTTCCTTGCTATTTTTTGTTTCTTGTTTTTTATCGATACCTTTGGTTTTGGAGTTTTATTTTGGCTATTCTGAGGTCTGGGGTATGAAGGTTGTGGAACAAAAATTTAATTGTTTAAGAATTTTTCACTTTCTCCTATGATGGAGGTTTTATTATTTTTGTTTTATTTTTCTTACATTGGATGTTTTTAAGGTAATTTATTTTGTTATAAGCCATCAGGAGTCAGAATGATTTGACAGCATGCAAATTTAGTTATTTATTTAGTTATTTATAATGAATAAACAAACATGGTGGGAATTCAGATGCAGGCAAAGCCTTCAAAAGTAAGTAGAAGATGATGTCAGCTTCACTTTGTGGTTTTAATCTCTCTTTCTTTCTATTCCAGTTATGAAAAAAATCAATTTTTGGTTATGTCTTCCAAATAAATAAAAAGATTAATCATTCCTCCTGACAAATGTTATACCATGTCTGTTTCTATTAACATTAACTTGGCTCCAGAACCCACATTACTTTTGCAAGCAACAGCTAAGTCAGAAATTGAAGCCCTGGGAGAGTTCAGAGGATCAGAACTTCACTGTATCTGTGCTTCCTCAGCTGATTAAATTAAATGCATCCCCGGTTGATGGATTGGCCAAGCCCTTAAATTTTGTCTTTGAGAAATCCCGGAGAACCAGTTTAAGTCCCAGACGATTGGAGGAAATGTCTCTCCCCAGTGGCTTTCTACCCATCCTGTCAGATCCAGCAGAAGAGGCATGCTCTGGGTCCCATCCATGAGAGTGCCATCTGCTGGGACCCAGGAAAAGGGCCCCGTGGCGCCCACCCTCTGCAACGTCACCCCCACCCCCACCCACCCTGGCGACCAGATTTGCCTGGACCCTAGTGGCCTCCCGCAAGAATTTAAAACTTGGCCCTGCCATCTAGCCTGGGGCCCTGGCAGTATAGTCAGCCCATTTCATGGGACGTTATGAATGTTCTTGGCAGCTATTTTTATGCTATTGATGTTGTTTTTGAACGTTGGCTATTTTATCCTGCTTTTATCTTGTTTTCATTGTTAACCGCCCAGAGACATATATATGAGATGGGGAGCCATATAAATGTGTTAAATAAATAAATACATCTGGGAAATACAGACCGATCTGTCCCTAATGCCCAGCAAGATTCTGGAGTGGGTCATTCAAGAGACTGATCTGTAGCCAGTTCAGAAACAGTGCTGTCATTAGCGGTAATCAGCATGGATTTGTTCAGAATCAGCCTTACGGGGCTCCCTTTATCTCAGTTTTGGATCCTCAAATTGGGCAGGATAGCTAAGTCCCTACAAGACAGAAACGAAACTCAAAATTATCTCGATGGGTGAAAGACGTGGGTGGAAAGTAGCAGAATGACAGTTAATAGAACCACAAACTAACTTACTGAGGAAACAAAAATCAGATGCCACAGGCATAGGGCGGGGAACGCCTGGCATGTGAAAATTATGGGGGAATCGTAGTGGAATGTGAAGGAAGGTGAGCCACCAACATCGTGTAGCTGCAGAAAAAGCATGCAAAAATATAATTTCCAATGTATGGGAAACAATTATTCCACTTTACTCCGCTTTCATCAGGCCGGAGTCCTGGGTCCAGTCCTGGGCCTCCGCTTTAAGATGGATTCAGAGCAACTGGGCCAGATTCAGAGAAGGGCAACATGGGCGATCGGGGTCTAGAAGAGGAGCTGGAAACATTTAGCCCTGGGAAAAAAGCCCTGAAAGGGGATATCACAGCTCTTGTCAAATGCCTGAAAGAACATCACAGAGATGAATTTCAAGGCTTGGTCTCTCTCATTTCAGAGTTCAGGGCACAGCATAAGGGGCTTAAGTTACAGGAAAGCCGATTCTGGGTGAATATTAGGAGAAACCTCCCAATTTAAAAAAAAAAAGTTTGGCAAGGAAACCAATGTACAGAGAGGCAGTGGGCTCCCCTCAATTTGGTGTGTTCACGCGCAGGCTCGGCAGCAGATGCGTCTTTGGTTGCTTTCATTTGGACTCCCACCCTGAGCAGAGGGTGGCCCTTGGTGGCCTCAGTGGCCCCTTCAACCCTAAGGTCCCAGGATTTGGGGTCTATTCCAGAGAATTTGTAGCCTGCTTTCCTGAATGATTAAGGCAGAGGAATGGAGAGAAGCGGTGCTCCCTTGCTAGTTCTCACAAAGGTTTCACCGGCTGTTGATCCTTTTGAACACAGCCACCTTGCCGATTCTGTGCCTGGGACGAGTTTCAAGACTGCTGCATTTGGACAGCTCTGTTTTTAACTAGGAGGCTGATTTCAGAACGTAATTTTGCAGGACTTCAGCTCTGCGTTTTGGAATTTGGTTTCTGGGGTGCCACGGGATTCCGTTTTGTTTTTTGACGTCTCCTACACCCAAACATTGGGGGAAATGAAATGACTCGGAGATTTGGAGAGCTCACTAGTGTTTTCTTCCTGCTGAGCTCCTGGTGCTTTGGGGACTGCTGAGGGTGGCCATAATGGGGCTTAATCACGACTGCAGGTCTGAGGTTGAGCTGCTCTCTCTCTGAAGGACCAGGCAGCCGGGGTGCTCTCTGGATCCAAATCTTATATTTATAAAAATCACCTTTAGCCTTCTGGCTTGGAGACAGCTGAAAAGCTTCAGCTGGCGGAGGGCGAAAGGGGTTGACTCCTCATTGGTGCCTGACTGCCTCACACTGCAGTTCTGGGCCAGCTGCTTTTGTTGTCCGGGCCCCGTGTGCGAAAGTGGAGGCGTTTCTTCCCAGCCGAAACGAAGCAACTGTTGAAAGGGAGAAGCCGCTCATGGCGAGGAGGGCTCCAGAAAATGTGCTCAGACCCCCTGATGGGCAGACGTTTTCTAGAGTTCTCCTCCCCAGGAGGCAGAAGTGATGGCTGCAGCTTCTCCTGCTCCCCTTTTCTTTCAGCTCCTGACTCCTGCCTGCATCTCAGCTCGGCCCCATCCCTTCTTCCTTCGGTTCCGGGGGCAGCTCCCCCTGCCTCCAACCCCATTTCCATCCCATTGTTTTTCTTCTGGGGGGCTCCTTCTAGTGGGTGGCTTTGATGAACGTCTGAGACGGAAGGGTTTGGGTGCCTACCAACTAACTGATGGGAGAATATTTTTTAAATGAGTGTGTTATTTGACAGGTAATTAACGCTAATCAGTTATTATTCAATTAATATTATTTTTCTGACCTTGACCTTTTGGGGAAGGAGGCCCCTGGCCAGAGTGGGCAATCATTTATTGAGGGTGCTGGGAGAGAAATGCTAAGAATTGGTCTTGGCTGGAACTGACCACCTTTGCTTGATTGACTGGTGACTTTGGGCACTGCACAGGAT